AATCCTCGACTGCTAGTTCCAATATCTGGGTCCTTTTGAGGTCTGTTTCTATAGACCACTTTTATCTTAACTCAGGTCAGATTTTACTTTTCTTTGTATGTCTAGAAAAATTTGATTATGTACTGGATATTATGGGTGATGTGTGGAAGAACTTTAGATTCTGTTATCTTTCTTTGAAATCCTTTGATAATGACTGATTTTTTTGTTCTATAGGCAATTAAATAACTGACTCATCACCTTAAACTTGTACAGGTTTGGTAACTTTTTTAAGGGACAGATTTGTTTCAGTTTTGCTTATAGTGTTAGTCCAAGGATATAATATTTACTTCTAAAATGTAGCCCTTCCTGAATTTCAATGGAAAGGTGATTACTAAGGCATTTACCATGTCCCTTAAAATGATGTGTCTCAAACCCCAAACTATTTCTCCGGTGGTGGCCAGCAGCTGAAATTTACATTCAATTATTTTAGTCTTCTGGTTGTTGCTTTTTGGTGAACTCTTTGGAATCTGTCTCATGCAACCACATTTAGTATCAGCCAAGAATTGAAGAGAGTCTTTATCCAGATTTTGGGGGGATGCTCTCCTTCCTTTCTTTCTTTTCTTTCTTTCTTTCTTTCTTTCTTTCTTTCTTTCTTTCTTTCTTTCTTTCTCTCTTTCTCTCTTTCTCTCTTTCTCTCTTTCCTTCCTTCCTTCTTTTCTCCCTTCCTTCCTTCCTTCCTTGGATTTCCCCCCTCAATTTACAGTTATTCAGGTAGTCTCACAGTCTGTCCTCTGACACCATTAGCCAAAACATCTGTGGTTTTCTGCTGGAATTCTAAGCATTCCATGCAGACTGTGGAGGGTCTTTAAAAGAAAAGTTGTATAAATGTGTATGTACCAAGTGTGGTTCTTTTCTTGCAAGAGTTGAATCCCCTCCAGTGTGTCCTGCTTTTTGATTGTTCTCCTGTGCATTCAAATAGTTGTTTTGTGTATCTTGTCTTAACCTATGGATAAATATAGACATAGAAGTGTCCAAGGACCAAGTCTTGGGGTACCTCAGAGTTTAGTATATTAGGAAGAAGAAGAGGAACTAGCAAAGGAAACTGAGAAAGAATGACAGTGAAGTAGGGTAGGGACAACAGCCTGAGTGAACTAAGTCCAAGAGAGAATGGAAGAAGTCTCTTCGCAAGTTTCTTTTTTTTTTTTTTAAAGATTTTATTTATTTATTTGAGAGAGAGAGAATGAGAGATAGAGAGCACGAGAGGGAACAGGGTCAGAGGGAGAAGCAGACTCCCTGCCGAGCAGGGAGCCCGATGCGGGACTCGATCCCAGGACTCCAGGATCATGACCTGAGCCAAAGGCAGTCGCTTAACCAACTGAGCCACCCAGGCGCCCTCTTCGCAAGTTTCTAAGAGTTTTGCTCTAACAGGGAAATAGTGTAATGGAGCAGAGAAGGGAGATGTAGCTCAAGAAAAGTTGTTTTTTTAAGATTGGAGAAATTACAGTATGTTTACTTGGTGATATCAATTATCCTGGAAATAAATAAAAATTAAAATAATATAGGGAAGACAGTGTATTGATGATGTCCTGATGAGAGAGAATGGTGGGTTTGGTTATGAAGGCAGAGTATTGGAACAGATTTAGGTGGGATAGTGGATTTGGTTGTGACAGGTTGTGAATGTTAAAAGCAAGATCACCCACTCAGAGTGAAGAGAGTTATAATTATCTATGAAAATGGGAAAGTGAATTGACTAAGGTAATTATTAGACACACCAAAAAACAAAAGAAAACAAAACCAATTAATGTAAAAAGTCATGAATTTAAAGTGAAATTTGTCAGTATGACTGTTTTCTCTTAGTCACATTTAGCTGCTAGGGGATGGGACAGAGTAGGGGTAAGTTTACATTTAATAATTGCCAGGTAAGCTTATAAGACAGAGGGAGAAAGAAGAAATGGTGCCATTTATGTATGTCAGGAGGTGATTATAATGTCAGACCTTGGTATTTAGGCTGCTTAAGGATTGGAAGTCAGGGCACATGGGGATGAGACAGTGAAAATGTGGTGGGATCACATATTAGCAGTTACAGTAGGTCAAATAATTGTTAAAGTTGTGGGTGCTTAGAGAGTGAGCTAAAAAGATAGGAAGTGTTGGTTAGAGAATATTACATAATGCTTAAAATTGATATTATGGAGCTTATATAGTTATTTAGTAATGTTAAGTGAAGAATATTCAAGTGATGTTACCTCAATATCATGTCACTTTGTGTTTCTTTTATGAGACTCTCCCAATTTAGCTTATCCATATTTGAGTTTTTAATTCCAAATTCTTTTCATTTAAATTTTGTTGCTCCATCAATAATTCTTTCAAGAATTGTGTTCTTTGCTTTTTAAGATGGCAATAATTGTAAAATTGATTTTAATGATTGTCTTTAGTCCTGTTACTTTTGATACTTACATTTTTATACTCTATAGAGAATTTTACCTATATTTTACAAACTAAACTAGGCAGGCATTATTATTCTTATTTCCAGTTTACAGAGGAGAAATCTCAAATTTAGAGAGATTAAATGATTTGTTCAGTGTTTTCACTCTAAATCCCAATGTTCTTTCCATTATATTGAATGGGCTCTAATCTGATAAATCTTTTCTAACATGTTAATGGGGCTAGTACTTAGGGAGTTTTCCTCCCTAGGCAGAGGGCCCTCGGAGATCCAATAATAGTCTAAAAGAGCTGTGCTGATAATGAGGATTTTATTTATTTATTTATTTATTTTTTAAAGATTTTATTTATTTGCGAGAGAGAGTGACAACAGAACACAAGCCGGGAGGAGAGGGAGAAGCCGGCTCCTGCTGAGCAGGGAGCCTGACATGGGGATCAATCCCAGGACCCTGGGATCATGACCTGAGCCAAAGGCAGGCGCTTAACTGACTAAGCCACCCAGGCACCCTGATAATGAGGATTTTAGGCTATATAGCAAAACAGTAGAATAGGTGGGACTTTGAGAATTCTTTGAGTAATAATGGGTAGGCAACTTCCTTTTCCTCTTACACTCAAAAGGATATATAGCTCCTTTAACAAAAGTCATGTAGAAGTCAGTATTGAAACTCAAGGCCAATTATGATTAATTAATTTATAAACATTTACTTTTAATTCCAAAGGGGATTTGAAAAGCCAATCAAGTATGACTAAAAGTGTGTTGGGAGTCATAGAATTACTACAAAATGAGGGAGAAAGTAAGAAATTTTGGAGTATTCTTTAATGCAGAGAACTATGTCCTACTTCTTTGATGTTTTAGGTAAAGTTGGCATGTTCAATAATTTCTGCTCTTGCATTTTATACTATGGAGGATCCCAAGCCACGACTGGCCAAGTTAAGAGCATTCCCTTCATGTTGACTAGAATTATGGTTGTAGAACAAGTTGATCAATTAACTCATGCACATTTGTGTGGGAATAAAAGAGATCTGGCATGTATTTCTTTAAATATGTTGCCTAGATACATAAAGCTTATAAATAAGAAAAAGCTTTGTCTTTAAATCTGATTTTTATTGATCAATTGATTACTTTTATCCACATTCTCGGTTTTTTTTTCTAATGAGGATGAAATGTTAAAATATTGATGATAATAAGAAAGTAGATAATAGAAAATTCAGAAAGCACCTAAAAATAAGAATTTTTAATGTGATATTTATAAGTAAAAACATTGACCACAAAGAATTATATTTAAAATTCTCAAAGGCTATCATTTCTTAACTTCTTTTAAAATTCTTTGTAAGTATTGCCTCAAATCAATTGGCTAGGTTTTATAATAAAAGACTGAAATATATTAAAAAATAAATAAGATTTTTATTTAATAGACACTGTGATATGAGAAGGAAAATTGACCTGGTTTGCCAGTACTTTTCTAAGCAATTTTAATCAAATTATTTAACTTTCTGGACCTCATTGCTTCTTTATCTATAGAATGTGTTTTACTAGATAAACTCTAATATCTCTTTTAAGTTCTAACTATATTACCTTTTTTTTTTTTTTTGGAGAATGGATTGAATTCTTAAATATTGAGATATCACTAAAGCTGTTTCTCAGGTCCCATAATTTTGTAATTAATGGTCTAAAATTATAGCCTTAGTGATAGAAGTGTTGATAGCTGTGGAAGGGAAGAGGTCAACCTGGAAAACAACCCTTCCTTAAAAATTTTCTTTGCTTCAAGCGTCCCTGAATTTGTGAAAGAACACGTGATTATTTCTTATAGTATGAAAATAGCATTTAGAACTCTTTAGGAATGGAAATTATTACTAGTTGAGAATGGTAATGAAATCATAATTGGAATTATAAAGAGTTTCAATTGTGGCCTCTTAATTTTATGAGATGGGAAGTAGAAAAAGAGATACTTTGCCAGTATGCATAATAAGAAAGATTACTTTAATATTGTGCAAAAAAATTTGGTTGAAACCTAGTGTCATAGTTCTCTTGAAATGTAAAATATTCCCAGAGTATGAAAAGTATTTTTATATCTATTTTGGCAATTAGAGGTATTTTTTTGATTTATTTTTTCTGTATTGCAAAAGTAATGCATGTACATTGCAAGATTTTGGAAAATATTTAAACTTGGAATGATATCATAAAATTTTAAGAATTATAAGAAGATTTCTTTTACTAAAAGTAACTAGTTTTCCAATGCTAAAATAGGAGTTATAACTGAATATGTCACAAAAATGGTTGTTAATGGAGCCTTTAAATAGTTCCCTTGAGGAAAGATGTTTCAATAGCAGCATGACTTTATTAGATTTTAAAAAATCATCTATGTCTGACAATCTTCTTAGCATTTAAAAATAAGACTAATAAAAATGTACAATAAAAAAGCAAATAAGGCATGACCATCTCGATTTAAAATAATTTTATTTAATACCATGTAATATATATATATACATATATATTATCTGATGATGCATTCAACTGAAGAAGTGTGATATACTATATGTAATTTATGCTTCACCAAGGGTTTTATAATTGTTTTATCTAGGGCCCCAAAGGAGATCCAGGATTTTCCCCTGGACAAGCTGTTCCTGGAGAAAAGGTAATTAGTTGCCCATGGAAAAAAATCATGATGATATATTTCAAGCATTAAAAATTCATTTTTACCTTTTTAAAATGTAGATTTTACTTGATATCAAACAGAGGAGACAGAGAACTAGAGAAGGTATCAGACAGAAAATAGAGAACTTTAATGAAGGAGGAAATAATTGAAAAATAAATTATATCATCAGCTTGAAGCATCAATTAAAATCTTAACATTAATTTTATTGAGTGTCTACTATGGCCTACCATTGTGCTACCTGCCAGTTAGGGAAGGGTGGGGTGAAAGATTAGAGCAGAATGTGTCCCTAATCTCAAAAATTTGCTGTTAAAAGGCATACACAAAATAATACATAAATTCTAATGTTATTTTGTGTCTTATTTAGATTAGCTCTACGTACTTTATCTTTTTTAGGTCCCCAGTAATTGTAAGAGAAGCAGTCATCATTATCTTGTTTTCCAGTTAAGAAAACAGAATTCATAGAATTTAAATGACTCATGGATAGTAAGTGGCTGAGTTAATGATATATTTGTTTGACTTTTTGTCTAGTATGCATTTCATTTTATCGTAATGCTGTCAAACATATGCATTCACATTTAGGTGAAAAGAAACTAACATTTTGCATAAAACTAGCAACAAAATCTTTGTTAGGAGGAAGATACTGTTTTCCAGTGAGGATGAGTAAAATTGGAGTCTTTAGGAATACATCTGGGAATCTCTATTTGGACAAGTACTTAATGAATGTGATACAATTACAAGATGTTTTTGTTTGTATGGTATACATTCACAAACTTAAAATCCCTGAATAATTTTGGTGGTTCCTGGATTGAAATCTGATCTTTAATTGGCTTATAGAAACTCTTATAAACTTAAAAAAAAAAAAAAAACCACACCATATTAATGAACTTTACAGGTATTATACTAACAAGTAAATCCTCAAAAAATTTTTAATCTAGAATCTTGAGAATTTTATTCCTGTGATGGAACAGAGTTAACTGAATATAAATAACTTAGAAAGAGAATAGAAATTTATTAGAAACATATTTTCATTGGTCCCTTTGTTATTGCAAGGAAAAATATCCTGCAATCTGAAAAACAAAATGCCATCTTTTAAAATATTTAAATATAGAACATTTGATTTCTTACTTAAAATTTAGAAATTAGAGGTCCATTCTGTTTTGGTGACTGCTTTAAACAAACCCCCCCAAATTAAGCATTCACATTTATATCAAATGCTTGGTTTTATCTTTACTTGTGGCTTCCTTGTACAAAATATAGGGTGGTTCAGTATGTGTGCAGTATCTGTATAAAATATTGGATGGTTCAGCATTGGGACTGAGGCTTGGAAGTATGTCATTTTTCCACTTTTTGAGTTACTCATATACTAATTGTGGTTAATGCTATATAGGAGTAAGGTAGTAAGATACAGGATTTAATAATATGTTGCCATTGAGCTTTAAGTGAAATCCAGCTTTTAAAACTGAGAGATATATTTTTAAAATGGTAAAATTTAAAAACATTTCTTAGACATTGTATTTACATTAGATTGGGTTCAAACTGAGGAGGCAGGATATCAGTTATACACATACATTATGAATAAAAAAATATGAACATCATACTGGTGAGAGTTGAGGGGCTTGGAAAACAATTGCATTTTATTTTTAATCATTTAGCTGTTTTTACAATAAATATATGGTCAGTGACGACACAAAAGAAGTGCAGGGGCTAGTCCTTCAGCATGGAACACATATTAAAGAATGTCTCTCATAGAGTATATTTAAGTGTTTAAGCCCTTTGGGGATCTCAGTGGCACACAAATAACTTTTAAATAGTGGTTTTCCCTTTTTCTTTCCTGTAAGTCAAGTGAGATATTATTCTCATTTCTCAGGTGGAGGAACTTTGAAGGGAAATCAAGTGATCCATCCATGATTAGACATAGTAGAAGGAGACAAGCTTCCAATAACCTGTTTCCTAGTCCAGCTTTCTTTTCGCTCTATCAGAGTAATGAATGTAAAAAAAAAAAATTATCTGTATAAAATGGTCATCCCATCAAAAATGGAAGCCATCTTAGTAAAATGTCAGGAAGTATTAAAATTAGGGCGCCTGGGTGGCGCAGTCGTTAAGCGTCTGCCTTCAGCTCAGGTCATGATCCCAGGGTCCTGGAATCGAGTCCCATATCGGGCTCCCCGCTCAGCGGGAAGCCTGCTTCTACTTCTCCCACTCCCCCTGCTTCTGTTCCTTCTCTCGCTGTGTCTCTCTCTGTCAAATAAATAAATAAAATCTTTAAAAAAAAAACAAGTATTAAAATTAGTACGAATGGAAAGGTACTTGATTGTTAATCATCAGAAACATTCTTTCCTGTTCTGATTGTTTAATTTGATGACATATTAAGGTACTTGATGCACTAAATATTAAACACAACACAGTCATTTAGGAATTTATGTAGGATTATTACCTAAGTACCCTTTTTTCTTTCACAACATTGTGTGTGTGTGTGGGGGGGGTTTGTTATGCACGATATATTTGTTGCAGCAGAAGGGGAGAGAAAGGGAAGTTAAGAAAAACCACTTGGAGCAAAGTGCCTCAAGATTACCTTCCCATTTCTTTTTGATGTTTTCTCCTTGTCAATTCACACAGCCTCCTCTGTATCTCCCACTGTCATCTCTACCCACCAGACACTCCATCCCCCTCACATGAGTATACTTTCTCCCTCTTACCCTAAGTTGGTCTCACAGGCCCTCATCAAAGCTGGGGGCTCAGGAGGATGGACGGCCTTAATAGGTGAAGTCCCATCTGCTGGAGCCAAACACACGTCCTCCCAAAAAATTTTCACAGCATTTACTCCCCAGTGGTGCAGCGACCAATACCAGTGCAGCCCGGAAGCAAAGTGTCCCTTTCTCTGGTGTGCTATGTGAACCCAGCCCTTGCTCCGCACAACCCTGCCTTGAGGTTCCTAGTGGGAGTCCTGCCAGGAGGCAGCCCGAGCCCTCCACAGCTGCTACACAAAGTGCTTAGAGAATTTTTAAGCAAACTTTTTTTTTTTTTCTAAAACACAGTAAACCTTGGAACTACAGGAATTTGGGGAGTGAGGGCATTCCTAGAGAAAAGAACATCAGCAAAAAAGGAACAGGGGTATGGAGGCGGGGAAGTACAGTGGTACTCAGCATGAGAAGAGAGAAATAGCCTCAGAAAGTCTCAAAAGGACTCAGAAAGGAGGTGGAACTTGAGGTGGATTGCGAAAATCAGAAATGAATGCAGTAAGATTTTGATGTCCAAGATGAAATCTGGCAGCAAGGGAATTCTAATTTTCATTTCCTTTTCATAACATTACACTTCTGTTTATGTTTTGTTCTTAGGGCAATCAAGGCCTTTCTGGATTAATGGGGCCCCCTGGTATGCACGGTAATAAGGTAAGACTGGTGAGACATAATTTTACTTTGACATAATTGGATGTCATCTGGGTCTGGAAGCTCTTGAACTCTTAAAATCTCATTTTGAAGTTGTGCCCAAAGTCATGTTTTAAATTCCTTTTCTCAGCGAAAGGGATTAGGATGGTGTCCTAATCCAGGAAAGTGGTGCCCACAAAAGGCAGTACCTTATGAAAAATAAAACCCTTCAGTTAATGACTGGGACAAAATTCAAATGAAGAAAGAATTCAAAGTCACTGATAGAATGTTGAAATTTTTCTTTTCTTCTTCCTTTTTTTTTTTTTTTAAAGATTTTATTTATTCATTTGAGACACAGAGATACAGAGAGAGAGAAAGCATGAGCAGGGGTAGAGGCAGAGGGAGAAGCAGGCTCCTCACTGAGCCAGGAGCCCGATGTGGGGCTCGATCCCATGACCCTGGGATCACGACCTGAGCTGAAGGCAGATGCTTAACCATCTGAGCCACCCAGGTGTCCCTCTTCCTTTTTTAATATTAGGGCAGTAACCTACTTCTGAAACTCTGAAGTCACTTTTTTTTAATTTATTTTTTTTAAGATTTTATTTATTTGTGAGAGAGAGAATGAGAGACCGAGAGCATGAGAGGGAGGAGGGTCAGAGGAGAAGCGGACTCCCCGCCAAGCAGGGAGCCCGATGTGGGGCTCGATCCCGGGACTCCAGGATCATGACCTGAGCCAAAGGCAGCCGTCCAACCAACTGAGCCACCCAGGCGCCCCTGAATTCACTTTTTAACTTTTATATGTGAAGTGAGGTATACTTGGTTATAGGTAATAGTTTTGGCTTTTTAAAAGTGTTCTTATTTTCTTAGGAAATAATAATCTCTGCCATGATATATGCACGAATGTGTGGCCTGAAGAGTAGGAAAGAAGGGAGAATTGGGGATAACTGGTAAAAAATAGTAGTGGTATGTATATGACTAGGCTTTTTCTGAGATAAAAAGAAATATTTACACAGCTGCTAGAATTATTTCATATAAAATATGTTGTGTAGTTTCCTGCTTCTCTTCTATATATTCAGCTTGTTTTGTTTTATTTTGTTTTCCCAAACACTGAGTTGTTGACTTTCTACAGGGGAAAAGGAAGATACAAAATATCTTTTAAAGTATTAAGGGCCCCAAAATATTGAAGGGCAGTATTTGACTTGGTATGGATATCTAAATACAAATAATAATAAGCTATGTTGATGTCTTAGTTGTGTCATATTCCTTTCCTCTTGGGAGATTTATGTTGGAAGTGGTGTTTAGGCTCTGGTTACTTAGTTCTAATCCCATCTGCCGTTTTCTAGGTCCCCCATTGACTTTGGGTAGGGTGCTTAACTTCTCTACCCTTCAGTTGCCTCATTTGTAAAATATGAAGATAATATTACACACTTCATAGGGAGATTTTGGAACAAGGAATGAGATCATCCAAGTAATACAGTGTCAGACAAATAGCAAGCCCTAATAACTGTTAGCTATTAGCTCTTTATCTGGTTTTGGAACATGACCTTGTTTGTTTTCCTTCATGACTCCTGCTAAAGGGCTGAATTTTAAAATGATGAAAAAGATTTTGATCTCATGGAGTGTTTTTCCTCCCATGACCACACTACCATTATTTTTATGGCCTCCAGACTAATCATCATAGACATTGCTTAGAATCTGATCACTTCTTTGAGGTTGTTGGTTGCTCCCCTGGAGACAGGAAACTGGAGTGTGATCATTTCTAACAGAATTGGTCTTGATATATAATCATGAATCTGTTTGCTTAATGCTACTTTGTATACCACTGAAGAAACTGTACTGACAAATAGCGTCAAATAGAGACAGTCTCATGAAAAGTATCTTAATTATTTTATTTGCTATTAAATATACAGTCATTTCATCCTAAAGAATGATACTGCATATGACAGAAAAACTAATCATTACTTTCCAAAGTTAAATGATACCTGTGGTTCATGAAATTAGCAATCCAGAAAAGGCAACTCTAAGTAAAATTTGAGTGGCTGTTGTGTAGAAGAGTATATAAAGAATTATCTATAGAGACAAATTTTAAAAGACTAATTTTAACCATTAGAGCAGATTATCATTTTAACTTTGAAATTGTACTTACTTAAAGCAGAAGATATTAACTTCCAAAGACCTGTGCATGTATTATATGTCTTGGCTTATAAGTATTTTAAAATCTTAAGGTTAACATATGCTTTTTGGTCTGTGTAAGTCTAATAAAGTGAAATACAGCATTATTTTAAGATTTTTTTAAATTTTAAACAAATCGGGTTATAGATTATCTTTCACAGACTTCTTTTCCTCTTATATGATTTTTTAAACTTTTAAAATCTGCCTTTTTTTATGTTAAAATCGATCATACCGAAGCCAGTGATCAATTAGCAGCTGTAGCTCAATTTTCTCTAGAGATAAAGTTAAGTTGAAAATATTTATTTATTTATTTAAAGATTTTATTTATTTATTGAGATAGAGCAAGAGTGAGAGAGTGAGAGCGAGAGTAAGAGAGAGAGCAGAAGGAGAGGGAGAAGCAGACTCCCTGCTGAGCAGAAAGCCCCACTCGGGGCTCGATCCCAGGACCCCAAGATCATGACCTGAGCTGAAGGCAGCTGCTTTAAGCGACTGAGCCACCCAGGTGCCCTAAATTGAAAATATTTAGAAACCAAATTACTTTCTGATAAATGAAGCATTCATGGTTTACTGTGATTTGATAGTAGTTTAGAACAATGTTGAAACACTTGAAATGATTTTGTAGTTTTTCTGAGGATTTTTCCTCTTTTTAAATATAGTGTGGCTATTAATAAAAACCATATACAGATTTAAAAAAAAAATAAGTATTGCTAGGAAAAGGACATACGGAGTCAATTTAAACCTAAACTAATTCTCCACATAGCACGCTTGGGACAAACTTCTATCACACTATGGGCATGTCTTATTTTAAAATGAATATATAATAGAAGTATGTCCAAAATGAGCTTGATAGACTATTACTATGGTTTGTACAGAAGGGGAAAGGGCAAGACCAGTTATTAGGTAAAATGTTCTGGTAAATCATGAGCTGTTTTTATGGAATTTACTAATTTTGGTTCATGTTTTGAAAAACCTAGGTCACTCTAGGTTACTTCCTTGCAAACAGGAAACATGCTAGAAGAACCTAGAATAATGGCTCATATTAGCTATAACCTGGGACTCCTGTTTCTTTCATCCTTGCATTTCTACCCAGAGTGTCAGTGCTAGGTGAATTCTGAAGGTCAAGACAAGAACTCAAGTTATTCACTTTTTAAGTGAGAAATCTAAGATAAGCCCAGAGAGGTTAAGAGAATTAATTGCTCATGGTCACTCAAAATTATGGCAGGATCTAGAGATGAAACTTATTGCTACTGAATCCACTGTGTGTTTAACTGTTCTTTGCATATTATGAGAGATAAACAAGATACTTGGGTTTTGATTAAGATGAAGTTTACTACATCTTTTTATCTACTAAACTATTTTGTGAAGTATCATTACATTTATTATGCTAATATCAATAGTAGCTGTTTTATTATGTGCAATATTCTGGTTGCTCTGCTGAGCCCTGTTTCTTTTCATCTTAAAAACAACTCATTGTGGGGTGCCTGGGTGGTTCAGTCAGTTGAGGGTCCGACTCTTGGTTTCGACTCAGGTCATGATCTCTGGTGGTGAGATCAAGCCCCAGGTCAGGCTCCGCTCTCAGCGTGGAGTCTGCCTGAGTTTCTTTGGCTCTCCCTCTGCCCCTCCCCCCGACTCATGTATGCACACGCATGCACGCTCTCTCTCTCTCAAAGAAGTAAATAAATAAAATCTTTAAAAAAAAAAAAAACCTCGGGCGCCTGGGTGGTTCAGTTGGTTAAGCAACTGCCTTCGGCTCAGGTCATGATCCTGGAGTCCCAGGATCGAGCCCCACATCGGGCTCCCTGCTCAGCAGGGAGTCTGCTTCTCCCTCTGACCCTCTTCCCTCTCATTCTCTCTCTCTCAAATAAATAAATAAAATCTTTAAAAAAAAATAAAAAAATTAAAATAAAAAAATTAAAATAAAAAATTAAAAAAAAAACCTCATTGAGACAAACAGTATGTTTAGTATAAATCACTTACCCAAGGCCACACAATTAATTATTAATTGGCTGAGTTAGGACTCAAATCCAGGCCTATTTGACATATGACTGCTCTTATTAACTTCAAATACTGCTTCCCCATTAATTAATTACTTTGTTAAGCTAATTTTTGTTAGATGTGTATTTCAGTACTTTTCACTGTCCCAGGCATGTAGGCAAGAGGAAGTAAAATTTTGTTTTCCATGAGAGCCAAGGGAACAGATATAGTTTTGGATGACAGATAATAATGACTTCATTATTCCTTTTTTCTGGGACTATCTGGAAATACTAAAATTCTTTTAATATAAACCATACTCAAGTAATCTTGAAAATGGCTGCAAGAAAGACATGTGGAGCACAGTGAGAGCTCATGAAAACTGTTGAGATAAACAGAAGGTTGATGTTGAAAACATTCCGAAAACTAGAAGTAATATTGAGAGAACGAAGTGAATAAATCAGTAGCAATGTTTTTTTTCACTCTTCAGTAGAGTTTATTTTGCTTCTTTCCTTTCTTCTTTTTTATCTCTCGCCTCTCAACTTTTTTTTTTTTAAACCAGTATTAACATCTTAACAAGCACCGTGTTTCCCCAGATTGACTGGTTACACTGCCTCAATTTAGCCACTTTCATGTCCTCTTATTTTCCTAGGAACTAAAGTGTGTTTTTACTTCTCACTAAGTGTCTAAATTTGTGCCAAAGGCAGATAAGTTGGATCCAGAGCGCATGCTGTGTTGGATGGAGGACAAGAGTCGTAATTCTGAGCTTGGACTCCACACGGAGTTTTAAATTGTTTTTTAATATAGCCAATCAGTTTCTATATTAATATTGGAAGTCTGCTATTTAAAATTGTAAGAGCATTAACAGTGATTTCAATTGG